TGTAGCCACGAAAAATCTCTAAATATAAGTTCCAAAGTCTTGTTGTATCCAATATATCCTTCTATTAAAAAGTCATGACATGCTTAAAGAACTCATAAACATATTTCTCCTTCAAAATAGAATAGGTTGTTCTTGAATTTGAATTTGAAAGTATTATAAAACTTAAAAGAAGTATTCTTGATATAATGAATAAAATAATTAAAAAAAATACTTGATTGGATTTGTTAGACAAATGTTGAATCAATAGTCAATATTGATTTCATTGCTCAAAGATGAAATTGCTTAAGCTTCAAAAAAATCATTCTTTGTTGATTTAAAATATATCTCCTTTGGTACAAGATAAGAATGTATAGAAAGTATGTCAAATAAACCTTATTATTTTTTAAATTAATATGTGATCTTAAAATCAAATCTTGATGATAACATACTTCAATTAGCCTAACAATAATTCAACATCCTTGTTGATATGAAGTATTGGAAGTTCTTGTAATCTATGTATATGCTAACTAGATTGAAAGCACCTTCAAAATAATGACACCATTCTTGAAAAGAATTCACAATTACAAAAAGTTATTTATTATGGATTTTGTAGTTGCTTCTGCTGTTGAAAATTTTCTAGAATAAAAAGCTACTAGATGGAATTTTTCATCTACTCACATTTGTGATAATATTGCATCCAATGCAAATTTTGATGCTTCTATTTCTATGAAAAATACCTTAGAGAAGTCAATGCAATATAAAATTGGTGTAGAAATAAATTCTTTTTTCAAAGCATCAAATAATACTTTGGCTTCTTTATTCTATTCAAGTTTGTCTTTATAAGCCAAATATATAAGTGGAGCTACAACTTGAAAAAAGTTCTTGATAAAGATCTTACAGTAATTGGCAAAGCCCAAAAAATATTATACATCTCTTATTATTTTTGAAATCTTTTAAACTATGATAATTTAGATTTTCTTTGGATTTATCATTAGTCCTTCATTAAAAATGGTGTATCCTAGAAAAACAACTTAAATAGTGTAGATTACATACTTTTCTATCTTGGCATATAATTTTTCATCTTCTTTTATGTTCTTAAAATAGATCAGAATGTCATCTAAATAGCATACAATAAAATCATCAAGAAATTCACAAAAAATGTCATTCATGAGATGTTGAAAAGTGGTTGGTATATTTGTGACTCCAAAAAGTGTGATATTGTATTCAAAATGTCCATACCTAGTTCAAAAAGTAGTCTTTCATTCATCTCCTTCTTTCATGTAGACCATAGTCTTCACTTTTTCCAAATGTACTCATAAATACTTTGAAGAATGAATTCAAATTATAGAATAGTCATGAATCTTTTTTCATCAAAGGTACAAATTAAAAAAGAATACTTTTAGAAAAAAAAATGCTCTTATAAATCCAATTTGAGTAAATCCATTAAGGTATTTGAGAAGGATGCAACCTTAGATAGAACTTTACTTGTTGTAAAAGTCCTCAAAATCTTCATTTTTTTTTCTATCAAACTTCTCAAGCATACTTATCTTTATCTCCTTTATACTTATAGTAGTATGATTCTTCAGATTTAATTATAAACTTGAGCTATTTACTTCTCTTAATTGCATAATTTCTTGGCATAGACTTTGAATTTTATTTTTGACTTTTTTTATGACTGTAGGAATAGTACTTCTACGATTCACATTTGAAAGATGTAAAATTTCTACCTTAAAAATGTTAATAAAGCCATGAAGATCTCTAATAGTTACAAATCTATTCTTACTTCCACCAAGAGTAGCATCCATAGTTTTTTCTTCTATAGAAAATTCAAATAAGTTCAAAAAGCTAAATTAGAGGAGGATACTTTAAAAATTTCCACAAAGAGGAATAATCCACTCTCTTTTAGAAAAAAATCAATATTAGAAAACTAAACTATTTGTTTAAAAGTCAATAGTCCAAAACCTTCAAAATTCAATGTTGTTCTTGTTGTATTCAAGCTTCAATATAGCAAAGCAATTGAACTAATAGAGGTGGGTTCGAACATGGGGAAAGACTGGTTATATGAATTGGGTCTGTTAATGTCACAATTGACTATACTCTAGCTATCTGAAATCAATTATCAAATTATAAAATACCAAGGCTTACTACTTTCATCTTAATTCAATCCATAATCCATTCTACGACTATCAATTCAACAATACTTCCATATTCTTATCCATTCATCTCCCACTTACTCTCTTTGTGATTTAGATATATTCAATTACTAATCTCCAGCTTACCTATTGTATTCAATTTCTCAATTCATCACACAGAATTATGACTCTCACAGTCTAGCTCTCGGCTTACGACTCTCACAATCTGGCACTCCAGACTAACTTCTCAGTATTGAAAAACTATCCATTACTCATCAACAACAAAGAAACAAAAAGAGGTAGCATCAAGCTTGCCTTGGCTTATGACTATCATAGTCTAGCTCCGATCTCTCTTTCCTTAACCTCTTTATCCTACCAAAAGATGATCCGTCGGCCAGCAGATTCCAAAGGTTATGATCCTTTGAATTCTTAACCATTTATTCCACTAGCAACCTATTGTTATCAACTAAACTACCTAAGCATCAGTCTAATTCTTAAGGTTATCAATAATCAACCAGTAACTTACCACAAAGTATATTTACTTGTTCTACACACAATAATAAAAGTAGAGTGATTCATTTACTTCTGAAATAAGATAAAAATAATAAATTAGCACTCTTATTAGACTATTTAAGACATAAAATTTTTAAAAAAGAAAACTCAATACATTCTTTTGTTATTCAAAAAAATTAAAAAGTTATTCAAAGATAATAATATATTGGATTAGAATGACTATTGCCAAAGATAAAAAGACTAAAGAGTCTAAAAATAAGACCAAGGACTAAAAAGACATTGATAAGAGTAAAGAAAGCTTTATTCTTGCCTTCATATATACTATCTAACTTGGAGCTATATGACAATGTTCTATAAGACTTCTAATATGTGTTGACTTCGTAAGACACATGTTTCAACTTACAAAGCAAATTTTCTATATGTACGCCACATAGTTAACTTGTTCCATAAGCTATCAACATGTATAATATATTGTTAACTTGTTGACCAATTTTTTAACCTATCAATCAACTATAAATATTTATAAAGTTAAAATGGCATCTATGAAGCTTCTAAGAAGCTTATTTAGAAGATATTATGAAAATAATTTATTTTATCATTTCTATCTAATCATATGAGTAATTATTGAAGTGAATATGTATGTCCATGACATTGACTTTTAAACAAATTATGATGTTATTTACCATTTGATTTGTTTGATTTTCTCCAAATTTGTTGTGTTTTTTTTCAACCAAAAGATTAAGATTTTTAAATTAAGATAAATGGTTAAATAAAATTTTATAGAGGTTTTGAATCTATTATTGTATTTTATTTAATTTTTCTTAGGATTACTTAAAAATTTATTAAAATTTTATTAGAATTTGATTAAGATTAAATTAAGATTCTTCTAAAAATTCATTAGAATTTTATCAATATTTCATCAAGATTTTATTAAAATATTATTAAGATTTGGTTATAGATATTTAGAGTTTGTTAGGATTTTCTTAAAGTATGATAAATATTTTTTAGGATATATTTTTAATTAATTAGAATGTAATAAGATATATCTAAAATTTTCTAAGATTAATAGGATGTACTTAAGATAATTAGAAGCATACTAGATTATTCAAGGTTACAAAAGGGTGTTTTTAAATACCTTATGTATTATTTTAGAGTATAAATCAAACTTAAATGTAAGTTTAAATCTTTTTACAACAAACTATCAAGTATATTCTTAGGTTAATTTTTACGTAATGTAATAGCAATGCTAATAAATATATGATTAATTATTATATGTTATTTGAAACTTTAGATCTAATTTAAAAATAGACATCATTTTTTATAATTTTTTATAACTATAAGCTATAGACATTAGAAAAAAGAGATATTGCCATCATCTGTTGATTAAATGTGAGATATGAGACATCAATCTTTTAGAATGTTTTATTTATTCTTAAGCTAAAGAAGAATTTATTCTCTATTGGTTGATTTTTTGATAAAAGAATTGATAACAAATTACTCAAGAGATAGTTGCAAGACAATCAACCATAAGTAAAATGTATTAATAAAAAGAGTTTCTAAGTCTAAGATCTACAAGTTGAAGATCCTTATAGTTGTCTCAAGTATAATAAAATTTTTAAATGGCAATATTAAAAGATCATTATCAATTTATATTACTAGCTCTATAATGGGATCACCCAATGCAAGTGGGGATCTCATGCTATGGCATCAACAACTATTACATCTAAATTTGATTGCAATAGAAAAGATACATTAAGAAATTTTGATTAATGGGCTACCTATGAAATTTAAATAGCTTATTGATGCTTTCTATGAAGATTGTTTGATCAAGAAGCAATACCAACACACATTTAAGAAGACTAGTAGTAAATAACGCTGAAATACTCATGTAAATCAAACCACATCAAGGGCCTCATAGACTTTTAACAAATGCTTGATAAACTAACAAAATTTTAATGATACACCAGTCGGGTTGTTTGACTAGGATTCTTGATTTTAGTCCAGCTGTATCTCATGGACTTTGAGTTGTATTTAGAGTTTATTGTGTACATAAGGCTTTGTATTATCTCAGAAACCTATCGTAAGTAAAATAGAAATAAACAAATATGAGAAACAGAAAGAGAGAATGCAATGAGGGAGTTGACTTATAGACTGCTTTGGCACAGTCCCAATAAATTCTTCACTGCGAACTGCATGGAAGGTCTTCACAATCAGTGGAGAAGGTGACAGACCACAACTTTCAAATCTTTTACTTGGCTTCTCAGTTTAAAAGTTGATCCACATGGATGGAGAAACAATATCCTCTCATCCACAAATACATGCCAGCAGGTGTATCGTAGAGATGAAGCGTGGTGACCACAAGACCATACAGCAGCAGCACGAGCAACAGGGTGATATAAATCACCGTTTATTGCACGATATATACAGCATTCGTCTCACAATGATGCACTTCACCTTACATCCTGGTTGTGCAGGTTATCTTGCAATACTGTCAACCTCACATTGAGCATGGATATGGATTCTATTACAAAGCTTTCCTCACTTGACTGTCCTGCTGCAGATACATCACAACCCTTACTTTACAATGTCTGATCCAGGGGACTGTGTCACACGATCTTCGTTTCTACATGAACTTCAATAAGATCCTACGAACTCCATCGCTTCAACTGGTCCGATCAATAAATTCTCTTTGTAACCACGTTCTTCGGCAAATGGATCGCTGCTGCATGACTGGCAGACCGACAACAACGAACTTCGCTATGTTTTCATCTAATTAAGTATCTACGGTGCGCGACCATGCACTGTCCAATCTATCGAACAAAAAAGTACAGTTGGATTTGCCTGTGGCTTCGTATCTATTACCTACATATTCAGGGTCTTCAAGTGCTTGAAGGAGGCGCATTATAACTGATCTGTGGAATTCTAACACACAGCTTACACATTGGTACCGTCATAGTTGCCTCCAGGTCCTTCATTGGGTCGTTTCTGGCCGTTCATGGAGTGCATGTGCATGGGGTGATCGGAACCATCATGGTGGATGTAGGCTGTGCCGCCGTGCCGGGTTAGGTCCAGTCCAGCCATTTCATCTTCGGGGGAGATGCGCAGCAGATTAAACAGCTTCAGAAGAAAGAAGAGGGGCCCCATGGTGACGGTAACCCAGCCGAAGATGGCCAGAATTTCGATAATCTGGGCTGCCAGGAGCTTTCCCCCGCCGCCCATGAATAGTCCATGGGGTCGGTCGCCAGCTCCATCATAGATCTGCAGGATGTAGTTCTGTTGCGCAAAGAGACCGACGAAGATGAGGCCCCAGGCACCGCACCCGGCGTGAAGCTGGGCCGCTTCCAAAGGGTCGTCATAGTGCACACGAGCTGCGAGTTTGTTGAGCCCGATGAGGACCCACGCGGAGACAAACCCGCAGATGATGCTAGCCCAAGGTGCTACTACGGCGCAGCCAGCAGTGATGGCAGCGAATCCGCCCAACAAGCCATTGCACACGTCAAGCACACTCCAGTGATTGTGGAGGAGGCGTTTCGCAAACAAGGTCGTAACTGCGGCAGTGCACCCAGACAACGTGGTCGTCACCGCCGTTCTGCCGACCCCAGTCCAGGCACCGCGGTTGCCCGAATACGGAACCAAGATATTAACAAAGCTGCCAGGGTTGAACCCATACCATCCGAACCACAGCAGAAAAGTTCCGAGCACTACCAGCGTCGCGCTGTGCCCCCGGAAGACCATGGGGTTCCCTGTCTTATCGAAACGGCCTATACGAGGACCCTCGATGAAAGCGCCCCAGAACCCTGCAATGCCGCCCACCATGTGCACGACGCCGCTGCCTGCGAAGTCGATGGCGCCGCTACCGAACAGTAGCGACCCTGGTCCCACAGATTTCGACGCAGACAGCCATCCGTCAGTAGACCACAGCCAGTGAGAGACGATTGGATACACGAATCCTGTCAACACAGACGAGTATATCAGGTAAGCAACAAACTGCGTCCGCTCTGCAATAGATCCAGATGTGATCCCCGCCGCGGCGATGGCGAAGGCCCACTGGAATAAGAAGTAGCTGTAGTCGAATGATTCATTCGGGTATCCTCTCAGGGCCCAGTTGTAGTGGCCGATAAAGCCATTAGTTTTGGATCCTATGCCGAACGCGAAAGCAAAACCGAAGATGTAGTAGGAAAGACCGCCGCAGGCTGCGTCCAGCACGTTTGTGAGCATGATGTTCATGGTGTTCTTGGCTCGGACAGACCCTGCGCATAGCATGGCGAATCCTAGCTGCATAGCAAACACGAGATACGCTGAGAAGAGCAGATACGTATTATCCACTGCCAGGGTTGTGGCATCCAACTGCGAAGAAACGTCATCTAGCTTTTTGCAGAGGAAACTGCTCAATCCAGCGGCGTTCGCCGTGTTGCCCAGAAACCCTTGCAGAGTGGTCACATCCTCAGCGCTACACCCGAATGTTGACATGTCGCTGCTGATCCCCTACCAATGTGCCCAAATTATATGAGTCGCCTTAAACAACTGCAGACGAGCCCTCGTTCTCAATGTCAGCGTCTCCCGCTCAGCCCGACGTTCCAATTCTAATCTCTAAAACCGAAATCGAAATTCAAGAAATTTGCCACTCCTGTGCACAGAGGAATTTTCCCAGCATCAGATGCTCTGTTCTGTTAGAGAGCTGCTCTGTTCCTATCCTCCACGGCTATACCCGTCCAGCACGCGAAAGCAACGCAAGATTTTATCTACAAAAGCAATTCAACAAAAGCGCACATGACAGGACTGGAACGGCGTTCTGCTGACAAGCGAGCTGTAAGTAATTCTCGTCTGACTACGGCCAAAACACTTCCACACAAGCAGCTTGAGCATACGGAAATTCAAGTACTTCACTAGCAGATGAAGAGTTAAAACCTCAAAAAAATGCATGAAATTGCCATATAACTTCCGACCAATGCACCTTACATGGATGATTTGAATATTTGATGCACCTAAAATCGCAAAATATAACTGAAAAGTTGAAAAAACAACTATCAACATGACTGGTATGAGCTGACATGCATTGTCTCAAACAAGGCGAGGCCGCAGAAATCGACATGATGAAAATAGCTTGAAAAGATGAGTCTCATTGCTGACCGAGATTTTTTTAACTAATTCACCAAAGCTACATGTAAGGCACGTATACCAACTACAATTGGAAAGACGCATAAACATAACATCTCAGGAAAATTTGGACCTGGAGTCTGCTTCTCAGCCGAACCGCAATAGTACGCACGATCCCGAACGAATCTCAAACTCGTTAATTTCCCGTACTTTGGCACAATATTCATCAAGGTTGCCACCTTTTGACTCACGAAGTGCCTGCATACCTCAACTGAACTGAGATTTTGCTACACCAGAACCCCCACTCTGCCTGTATTCTCTTTGCTCTCTCGCAGAATCCAAATTACCCACTGGACTAACCCCCAGGAACACCAAAAGGAGATACTAGTCTGTGAAAGTCTGACGAGAGAGTCTGACCGTCAGCATAGTGAACACAGCAAGGATTGCGCTGTACTTGCACGATTCCTGTTTATAAAGATGCGATTGGAGCTACAGTTTGGGTGACGAAACCTGGGAATCCATAACCCAGTAAAACCATTCTAAGTCACTGGCGCAGTTAACTGGACAACCCACTTACAATTAGTAATGGAACCCTGGCAAGTTCCGACGGATCCTCCACTTCGAAACTCCTGGAATTTCTCACTACGCCTATTCAATCATCGGAGTGCTGTAAGTTCGAAAGAATTGGGTATGAACAGAAATCCTCGGCAAGCGTGTCCCAGCCGGTCCTTTTCGTACAGAATGAACGTGAACCCTCAACAGCACAAGTCCCCTTCAAACTTCTTGAATCTTCGGATAGAGTGAATATGACTAATTACAGAACACACCAAAAAAAGAATGAAAGTGAAACGGAAAAAATCAAAAAAACAAAAAAAATCAATATCAGTCACAGAAATTCATCCCAATTCTGACCACTTCGAAAGAATATGCGAAACCATTCGGCTCCCGACAAGTGGAGCTGCACTCCGGCAATGGCGATCAACTCATTGAATGTTTTAAAAAAGCAACGCCGTATTAAAGTCTGCAAACACCTGAACTTGAAGGCCAAAGGTTACAAGCGCCGGATGTGGAGAACTGCTACCCTTGCCTTGCTTCATGATTGCTGGAACCCTCGTAGCAACGCCACTTGGTGCAACCCACACTCACAGGAGTTTTCCCCACGTAGCGAGATCTTTGAAAAAATTGACGATCGTGAAATTATAGACGCCTCCTGGGCCCTCCGCGGAATCTCTCTCTCGCTCTCGCTTTCTCTCTCTTGCTGTCTCGCGTTGAAAGGTAGCCTACTGTGCCACTGAGCTCTAGAAAACAGACACCTTCTCTCTGTGTGTGTCTCTCTTCGGCTTTCCCATCGTAGAGATGCTTTCCCACAATTCAGGGGCGAACGCCTTCAGAGTGGCTGTGGTGTCGGCATGTGGCCGCAACAATGCGAGGTCGAACAGGGGCCCACCATGCAGTTCACGTGCACCAGCGAAAGGGACAAGGGCAACTGGGCATTACACTGCTCTGCCATTGCTGTTCCAGAGCCGTGCGGATCCACTCGTGACATTTGCATGTGCATTCGAGCTTCCCCTCCTGCTTCTCCTTCTGCTCCCTCGCTCAAGCTCACCGCATCGCTGTGTTCTCCGAAACCGTCCATTCCGACATAGCAGCTGGTGGGGAGCTGGGTGCCCGCTCTGTCGAGATGCACATTCTAAATGTCCACACATGCCTCATATTGCATACCAATACCATCCAATGGATCTTGTACACTTGTTAAATAAGTTCTACAAATAAGGCATGTGTGGAGCAACTGTTACAATCCCCACATTTTTTTGTTCTTCTAGTTCTTCCCATCTATCAATTTTGTTCTAGAAGGGTCTCTATCAGTTGAACTTCAAGAGAGTTGTCCACAAGTATAGCTTCATGTTAGATTGAATATTTTGCACACAACATCAAAATTTAGTGCAAGAATTGCTTCTTTATGATAACTTTCTAGTGAGAGAGAAAATTCTAATGCCTTATGTAATTTTTATCAAGCATTTGTGAAAGTTTGTATACGTCATTTTTGGTTGTCTTTGTTCAATAGAGTTGGAGACAAAAATAATAGGTTTGTATAGCTACTAATGCTTGTAGAAGTTTGTTGTTGTATTGTAACATGGCTATTTGTGAAAGGAATATATATATATATATATATATATAGATAGATAGATAGATAGATAGAGAGAGAGCTTAGTTGAAAACATAGTAACAAATTGCTATACAAAACATAGATAAAAGATATGGAGGTTGAAAAACATTTAATGTTAATGCTACCTTTTGGTAAAATAAACTTCTATATACTTTTTAGGATCATAAATAAGTCAAAATAAAGTACATTAGCAAAAGTAATATTATAGACATCTTTAGATGAAAATAAAAAATAGCTTTTGGCAAAAATTGTATTTAATAGTATGTTGGAAAATAAAATTTGTAGAATTGTAAATCCTTGGATATCAATCTACTTATTTTTTGGTAATTTTTGCTAAAAATTACTTATGTAGTTTATTCAAATTTTATTTATTTATTTTATGCCTATTCTATAATTTCTTATTTTATTCATGGCTATACATAGAAAGTAGAAGTATTTTTATTTTTTATTTTTTTTTATAAAAGCATTTAATCTTAAAACTTCTAATATTTGTTAAGTATTACTTATAATTTTCAAAGAAAGTTTTACTAATCTCTCAACCAAATCTTATATACTTTGATCATTATTTATTTTTATACCTAATAATTATAATATAATATAACAACCATCTTAATAAATAAATAAATACTAAATTATTTTTTACTTATTATAAGATCCATCTAAAATGCCATTCTAATATCATTTATAGAACAAAAATATAATAAGAAAATCAAAATTGTAGAAAAAAAATCTTGTCTCATGTAATAAAAATATTTGATATATGTTTAATATATAAATAATAAAAAATGAATAACAATGAAATAAAAAAAATTAATACATTATCATCTTTTAGAATTGAAAAGATTTTTTGTTTGTCATATAAGTATATTTAGAAAGATTGACAAAGTTTTATGACTGAACTTTAGCAATGTCTTTAGTAGTTTTTGGTACAATGAAGAATTGCATAAATTTTCTATTTTCTATTTTTAATTTGACATCATGTTTTATTTATTTTTTAATAAAAATATCTAATAAAGTTTTGATTGGTTGCCATTCAAGAAGAGTTTCTATCTCCAATTTGTAATTTTGGTTGTAGATATTTTGATGAATTGCTATGCAATTAATAAAGTAGAGAGTTTCTACAATGGCCTTAGATACATCACTAAATTTCAACAATGTAATTTTTATGTATTTTTTATTATCATTTATTCTCCTTACTATAATATAGACTGCAATACTCTCAATTAGATCACATAAATAACAAACATTCTTAATTTTAATATCTCAACAATGACCTATTTTTTAAATTTTTCTTAAAGATCACATAAATAACATTATTTATTCTTGTATTGGCTATACTCATCAATTGTTGCTATCTCATTGTAGATCTTTTAATGTATACATAAAAAAATTATATTTTTTTGAATTATTTATTTGGATATATATATATATATATATATATATATTTACAAATTATACTTTTTGAATTATATATTAGAAATTATTTTTTTCAAAGATATAAATCATAAAAAAATCAAAAATTCAAATGACTCTTTTATTATTAGAAAGATTTTTTTTTATAATATTCTTTTTAATAATAAAAAATAATAATTTTTTTTTAAAAAAAACATGTTGTTTCTAAGGATCTTAATTTCTATTACATTATCTTAAAGATTGTAACAATCTCGATGGCTCATTTAATAACTCAGCAAAAAATAGCTCTTGAGTTGAATTTTCTTGTTATTGATTTTTATCTTTTGAACACTACAAGTACAAAGAAACCAAAAACAATAGTAAAAGATAGAATGAAATCTTCAGTAAAATTGCTTTATTTTATGGCAATAAATTTTTTGATTCTTTTTTTTAATTTTTTATAAATGATGTCAATGAAAAGCATTAACATTTTTTGTTGCATTTACAATATTTATGGATGGCTCTTTTATGTGTTTACTACTATCATATTTGTGCCAATGTACAAGATATTTCAACCAATTTAGTATTGTTTTAAATCTAAGACCACTTCTACTTTAAACTTTTGATTGTTCTTTACTTCTATAAGAGTAGATGGCATTTGTCTTTCTTTTGATGTATCTATTATTTTATATAGTTTAAGAAGAGATACATGGAACATAAGATGGATTTTTATAGAATTTAATAAGTATAATAAATATGTGGTTTGATTGATTTATTTCAAAATTTAAAAAATGGTCCAAATCTAAATTAATCCAATTTGATATAAGAGTGAATAATCTTGATATTAAAATAAAATAACTACACCTTTATATGAATGTAAAATTAAATTTGTTCCTTGCAATACATATTTTTATTATTTTTTTGTTATTCTTAAGTTTTATTTAATTGTTCCTTCATTACTACATATAACTCTAATAAAAAAAACTTTAATCTTCTACCATAAGATTATCAATTTTTAAAAATTAAAAAATATTAAAAAATATATGATAACCATAATTAGTATAAAATGGTGATTATTAAGTAGAAAAATATATTATTTTATTATAAGTAAAAAACATTTATCAGTAAAACAATTATCTAATTACCTTGATAGTAGTTGTTGATACATCTTAAATAGTGCTTTAGACTTGATTTAGTTGTTTTATTTTTCCATTAATTTAAAAATCAAAAAATAAAAATAGAAATAAATATTATCAAAAATAAATCTAATTATTTTTTTTCTTATGACAGTTTTTGTATATAATATAAAATATGTCATTTTAGTAAAAAAAATCTATTCTTACAAATATAGAGTCAAAAAAACTTAAGATTGAAAGATCCATCATAAAATCCATAAAAGCAAATGATTTTTGTTGTTTTAGTATAAATAGTGGTTAAAAAAGTCTATAAGATCGATAATAAGGAATTGTTTATCTTAAAAAAATATCACATGATTGTATGAAGTCTTTAAGTACCTTCTACATGTAAAGCCACTAAAAATCTTTTAAAATTAATTTCAAGATCTTACTATATTTATAATTTTATGTAGCTAAAAAATTATAATAAGTTTAAAGAATATGTATTTGTGCTTTATCTTTTGGAACATATATGCATCCATCAAAATAAAAAAAAAAAGATTGTATTTAAATTCAAAGTATCATGAGATTTAAAATAATCATTCCTAATATCATGAATAATAGGATCTTAAAATATACTTGATTGAATTTGATTTAAAATAATTAATCAATAGTTAATATTGATTTTATTATTTGAAGATAAAAACAATTTGGCTCCAAAAGAATTATTTTTATATTTATTAAAAGTTACATGTCTTTTTTTTGGTACAAGATAAAAATTTCAAGAACATCCAATATATATTTTTTTTAACCCAATAAGGGATATTAAATACAAATCTTGATAAAGATATGCTCTATAAAGCTTAAAGATAATTCAAAATGCATGCAAATATAAAAAACTCAAAATTCTATTGATATGTATAAAAAATCACTAAATTAAAAGTATCTTTTAAATAATAGTATCATTCTTAAAATAAATCCATAATTAGAAGAAGCACTTTATTACAAATCTTGTCATTGAACTTGGTTGTTGACTTTTTTCTTCAATAAAAAATTATAAGGTGAATTTTTTTATCTAATCCTATTTGTAATAACATTGCGCTAAAAGAATTGCATTGAAAAAATCAATAAAATGTAAGATTAGTATTAAAACTTCAAATATTGAAATAAAAATTAATATTAAAACTTCAAATATTACTTTAGCTTCTTTATTTCATTTGAGTTTTTTTATATAAGTGAAATGTATAAAAAATATATAAATTAAAGAAAAAAAAATTAAATCTAATAATAATTAAAAAAATTTAAAACATATTGGACGTCATTTATTA